CCCTTCATGGCCTCCAGGTGGGCACGGGCTGCCTGGGAGGGTGGCTGGCGGCCAGCCACGGCCTCCACAAGTTCTTTGTTATTTTCAGTTTTATGTTCTCTAAGAGGTTTATTTTTACATAAGGGAGTTACAGAGGGAACTCTGAGGGGGAGAGATGGAGATCTTCCATCCACTGGTTTGTTCCCCAAATGGCCTCAGTGGCTGGAGCTAGGCCAGTCTGAAGCCAGGAGCTTGTGGCCTCATCCAGAACTCCCGCGTGGGTGCAGGGGCTCAAGGTTTGAACCATCCTCCGCTGCTTTTCCAGGCCACAAGCAGAAAGCTAGATAGGAGGTGGTGCAGCCGGGACTAGAACCGGTAAGCATCGGGGGTGGTGGCTTAGCAGGCTGTGACATAAGCCATCGCGGCCCACGTGGTGTTAACTGTGGTGGGGTGAGTTCTCCTTGCACTTCCCACCGGGGTGGGGCTGCACTCAGCCACAGTCTGTCTCAGCTGCACTCTCCCTGAGCAGCCCACACCCCCTCGGGAGAGGACCATGGTGGAAGCACCAGGAGACGTGGCCAGGCGTGGGTGCAGGTGTTGGGGCGGGGCTGGTGTCCCCTCCGAGCTGTGCTGAGCAGCTCCGCTTGTTCCAGCAAGGAAAGCAGGATGAACGGGCAGTACCAGGCACCCACTGACAGCCTCAACAACGACAACAAGTGAGTCGTCCCTGCCCTCCCAGAGAGGGCACCCTCCCAGCCTGGGCCCTGGCGGGGCTCCTGGGGACAGGGGAAGTGCACACAGGTGCCGCCATGGAGTCAACCACCCCGCCTGCCTACTGCCAGGTACTCGCTGTTTGCTGTGGTGAACCACCAGGGGACCTTGGAGAGTGGCCACTACACCAGCTTCATCCGGCAGCACAAGGACCAGTGGTTCAAGTGTGACGATGCCATCATCACCAAGGCCAGCATCAAGGACGTGCTGGACAGTGAGGGGTGCGTCCCGGGCATGGGGCTGGAGGGAAGAGGGCCCCAAGCCCCAAGCCCCATGCTGCCCACATCCATGGCACCATTCGGGGAGATGGCCTGATGGCCCAGGCTGTGGGGTCTCACTCTGCAGTAGATGCTGCCCTGGTCTTGGGGGCACTTCCCTGGCCACCTCCCAGCATTTGCAGTGCCTACTTGGCCCTGCCAGGCCCAGCACACCAGCACCCATCTCTCCCATGCCCCAGTTGGGGTCCTGCCCAGGCCAGGCCTGCAGCAGAGCCAGCTGCTGGGAGCTGAGCGGGAGGGCTTCAGGTGGGGGCCTGTGGCCATGAGGACCACTCCTCGGAGAGCCATGGCAGGCAGCTGGCGGCGAGAGTCCTTGCCGAGCCAGGCCAGCACACATGTCTCTTCCCCCCCAGGTACTTGCTCTTCTACCACAAGCAGTTTCTGGAGTACGAGTAGCCTCGTCCACGGCTGGCCAGGATGGACGACTGCCACACGTCGGCGACCTCGCAGGCGGCCCCGCACCCGGATCTTCACAGGGTGGCCGCGGCAGTGGCACAATGTGGGTGGGCTGTCCCTGCAGTGCCCTCACCCTGCCCCGGCCGCATACACCCAGGGATCCGCAACAGTGGACAGACGGCCCAGGGCTCCCACCAGCCCGCGTCACACTCCCTGCATGTTGGAAGCGCTGGCTGGTGCTGTCCAGGGTTTTCTAGAAATAGGCTTTCCCGACCCCTCCCTCCTCTGTTTCCATGGTGATGGGCCATGGCAGAGCCTCGGGCACCGAGAGCGGCCGGTTGTGTGCACAGGGTGGTGGCTCCCCCGCCCTCCCCGTGGGCTTTGCTTCCTACTTGGTGCTGTCTTCATGGCTGCCCTTCCAGAAGCTTCTGGGCCCAGGGTCTGCTGTTTGGTGGGTGGGTGGGTGGGTGGGTGGGTGGTCCCATTGGTCTCCTTCCTGGATTTTTCCCCCCTGGTTTTATGTCCCAGTCCTGTCCATGGTCAGGGTTGCTGGTGGCTGGGGTGGCCGCCAGGCCGCTCGTGTGTTGCTGCGGGAGTGAAGCAGCCAGGCCGGCACCCGCCTGCGTCCCGTGCTTACGGGGGCCAGGATTTGCATGAACACGTCATTTCTCGCGGATCAGATTCTGAAACATTTGAAGCTGCAGAAGGTGTCCTCAGCTAAAGGCCAGAAGAGAATGGGCGGTGAGCCCCCGGCTGGGTGGGCAGCGCAGGGCCAGTGAGTGCCCTTGGCGACTGCAGCGTTGTCACCTGCACCGCGAGAACTTGCCGGGTTGATCTCCCAGTTCATCTCCCTGCGTTCAGCGAGGCCACAAGCTCATCTTCTGGCAAGGAAAGGCACCCTCCAGGATGCTTCTGGAAGGGCCTGCCTGCCGAGTATCCAGGTGCGGGGTGGTCAGGCCCACGTGCTGGCCTGGGGCTCTGCAGCGGGGCAGTCCTGGGCCCTGTGTTGCTGACCCGTGTCTGGGAGCCAGGAGGCCCCTTGGGCATCTGTCATTACCTGTTTCTGAGGTGCTCAGCATCTCCCAGCAAGACGAGTGGACCCGCCCTTGGCAATGCCCTGAGGCACCCGGAGGGAGCAGAGCCAGGCTTGCTTCCGCATGACCCCAGACCTCCCACACCGCTCTCACATTCCGCTCACTGCGCGTGCTTTCCGTCGTGTGACGTGCCGTGCCCCTGCCAGTCCCAGTGACCGTGTGTGCTCCTCACCCCAAGAACAGTTCGCCCTGATCATGCCGTGCTTGGAGCAGCCCCTGGCGTCCCATGCCCCCTCCCAGCTTGTAGTCTATCCTCTCATAATAAAACTGCATCTCATTGAGACCGGCCCCTCCTGGTGGATGCGCCCTTCTCAGGGGCGCCAGGCACCTAGCCCAGCCATGGGCTCAGCGCTGGGCATGCCACAGCACACAGAGAATGTGTGGGTTGTGCAGTCCAGTGGGAACCTTCTTTCCCTCCATGGAAGCATCTGGAAGCCATGCTGTGTTCCTCTCAGTGACACAGCATCTGAGTTGGAGCCACTGTTGCAGGGGGTGGTCTCCCCAAGCCGGTAAGTGGACAGGAACAACCTAGGGTGGCACTGTGACATGTGCCATGCCTTGCACCCCAGCCAGCAGTGGGCTTCAGCTCAGGCGTGGAGTGTATCCTGCAGAGTCAGCTAGAGCTTCCGCAGGGACACGGGCCTGCCCCCTGGGACAGAAAGCCAAGCTGAAGGCAGAGGGGCAAGGCAGTGCCCTGCCACCCCGTGGGCCTTGGTATGGGGAGTGTGACTGCCCACCCTGGGCCCCAGTGCAGCTCAGACAAGCAAGCAGGCATGGGGACAAGGATCCACAACCAGCAGGGTGTCCACTGAAGGCCGACAGTCCTGCAGGAAGCAGGGACACAGGCCTTGAGATACCCACATGACTGCTACAGCCAGCGTGGGGCCTGACCCAAGCCAGGAGCCTCATCGGGGCATCCCGTGCGGGTTCAAGAACGCAAGCACTTGCGTTCCTCTGGGTCATTTCTACAGGCTCTGCGTTTTTAAAGGTCATTTCTAGAAAGCCAGTGTTCTGGTGCAGTGGGTTAAACTGCTGTTTGAAATGCCGGCATCCTGTATCAGAGAACTGGTTCAAATCCTAGTTGCTCCACTTGATCCGGTTTCCTGCTAAAGTGCCTAGGAAGATGGCTCCTGTGCGTGCCTGGCCCAGGCCTGCGTTGTCACCTTTTGGGAAGTGAGTCAGCATGGAAGATCAGCCTCTCTCTGCCTTTCTGTCGTTAAGATGGATGAATACTCTACTGAAGATTTCATCTTACTGGAAAGGCAGGTCAGATTTACTGTTAGAAGGGGAGACGGATCTTGCATCTGCTGGTTCACTCTTGCGAGTCAGTCATGTGGGTGCAGAGTCCAGGGCTTTGGGCCATCTGCTGCTTTCCCAGGCCATGAGCTGCATGGGAAATGAAGCCAGCTGGGCTGGACCCAGTGCCCATACGGGATTCTGGCTTTTGCAGTTGGAGGATTAACCTGTTGAGCCACTGTTCTCCCATTTACCTTTTTCTTACTACAGGGCAGCGGTGGGCTAAGCCCTCCCACAGTGAACTTCTGAGACCATGACTGCTGCCCTTTCCCAGCTGAGGGAGTGAAGGCCAGAAGGGTTTAGGCAGTTTCCCAGGGGTGCTGTGAGCCAGGACAGGCACTCAGGTGGGTTCTTAAATCACTACCAGGAAAGTTAGACTTGGGGCAGGCCTTGTGGCATGGAGAGTAAAGCTGACACCTGTTCAAGTCCCGGCTGCTCCACTTGCAATCAGCTCCTTACTGATGTGCGTGGGAAAGCAGTGGAGGGTGGCCCGGATGCTTGACCCCTGTCACACCAGCTGGAGCAGGTGTCAGGTGGACATGCCAAGCCAGGCTCTCCCCACAGCATAACTGGTAAGGTTCCTCAGGGAAGGGGTCTCCCTGCAGCCTGCCCAGCACTGCCGAGACTGGACCAGGACCTGCTGCAGTGCCCGGGGTGCGTGGCTCCCCTTTGCATCCCTCACAGACTGACAAGGCCCCCCCGAGCCCACACCTGGGGCGGGTGACCTGGCGACAGCTCTTCAGACACAAGTGTTTGTTTCACAGGGAAACACTACCAAGAAGAGTTCCTCCTCAGAAGGCCGCTCAACAGTGCCCCTGCCCGCCTGCACGGGCTCCCCTCCTGAGCATGCCCCCTTGTCCACCTCACAGCCTGCTGGGAGACACGCACATGGGCCCTGCTTCCCGCTCTTCCAGGGAGGGGCGTGCCATTTGTGTTTGGGGAGAAACGGGCCCCTCCCGTTCCTGTTCTGACGTCTGCCACGTGGGCCCTCCCTGCAGCCCATTCTCAACGTTCCGAAATGAAAGAATGGTAGAGCCTCCGTGGGGACCCGGTTGCTCCTGCTCAGCTTCCCCCAGACCCGGTGATTCCAGCAAGTGCCTGGTCCACGCAGAAGGTGCAGGCCTGGGCTCAGCAGACTGTGGGATAGAGGGGGTTGTCTGGTTCCACCAAAGGGACTTCTGGGAGCTGGGCCAGCAGGTGCACATGGCTTTATTGCATGGCTCGGTGACATCACAGGCCGGTCGAAGTGGCCCACCTCTGACGCTGGCGTCTGCAGCAATCTGCCTTCAAGCGCCCGGGCTCCCCTCCCGGGCAGGTGAACACACAGGACCAAGGCCACCATCTGGGGCGCGCACGCACAGCTGCAGGGTCCGGGTGCCAGCGTGGTGTCCTTGGTTCTCTGCACCCACGTGGCCGGGCGTCTTGGGCGCACCCGCGCTCTCCTGGGTGGGCGCCCTGCGCTCGGGGAAGCAGAAGCTGCAGGTTTCCACCGGGTCGGGCGATGCACTTGTGGCGGGGCCAGCTTCCGTCGTGGGATCTGCAGGGGCAAGGTGAGAGGGCGTGGGCGGCGATGCGGCTGGGTCTGCCCTCTCCCTTCCAGCTGTAACCTCCCCCGGGTAGGGCGCCTAGAACCGCCCCGGGCTGGCTTTCGCGCAGGTGGGGTTTGCAGCCCTGTGTGCCCAGGCGGCCCCCAACGTGGGGGTGGGCGTGCGTCTCCGGAGCACCCTGCGGCCGCAGAGCTGCCTGCCAGGGACCTCTTCTCGCCTTGGTGTTTAAACACGATTTTGCCAGAGAGGTTTTTGCAAAATGCTGTCCCTCGAGACAGAGGTGGCCACAGGGCCAGGGCGGGGTCCCAGGCTCCCAGCTCTGCATGCACTCACCGTGGGACCACTTGGTCTGAGGTCTGCACCGCCCGGCTAGGGACTGGCAGGAGAACTGGTCCCCCCTCCTCCTGAGGAAGCAGGCCACCGCCAACAGGAAGCAGCAGATGATGGCGCACAGGCAGATGCCAAGGGTGCTGTAGACCAGGGCCAGCTGCTGGGCGCTCAGCCTGGACCCTGGGGGTGCTGCAAGGCACGCGTGGGGTAAGACCCCGAGCTCAGGACCTGTCCTCACCGCCTGCTCCTCAGACCAGCAGTTGTGGAAAACCTGATCCCTCTCCCCCCACCCCACCCCACCCGTGGCCCAAACAGCCCAATGCCCCACCCCTGCTTGTGCATGCCCAGCTTCCCTGAGAGGCCCCTCAGCCCCATACAGGACCTGCAAGCTGCCACGTCCCACCCAACTGTCAGCCCAGCCCAGGGAGGTGCAAACCGGGAAACGGAATCAAAGGCAATGATTTGGTGCTTTAAAAAAAAACGCAATCCATGCACAAGGAGGTTGTTCAGGTGCGTGGACAAAGGCGTACACGGCACACAAAAGCAAGGCGTGGGATTCATGCCTTTTGGCACCAGCAGAAAGGTGCTTTCAGCGAAGTGTCTACACACTTTCCGAAGGCCCCAGAGGACCGGGCTAATCTTGGAGGTGGACAGATGGCCAAGACAGACCCATGGGTGCCACACCAGAAAGGACCCCTGTTCTCAGCCCAGCCCCTCCTGGGCCATGCATGGGAGGCCACACTGGGCCCTGGGCTGCAGGACAGGGATGCTGGGCTCAGCACTACCCAGATGTGATACACCCATGACCGCCTGTGTGCCCGGTACAGTGTCACACATGTGAGGCACACGAGGAATCCCACAGCTGACACTGGGGGCGGGGCTGTGCCAAAGCATAACAAACTCAGCTGTCACCGCAGCATCAGCACCCCAGAGGGCACCAGTTCAAGTCCCAGCTGCTCCACTTCTGACCCAGCTCCCTGCTTATGCTTGGAGAAGCCGCAGAGGATGGCCCTTCGGGGAGTGAGGGAACCAGCAGACTGAAAATATCTCTCTGCAACTCTGCCTTTCAAATAAACAAAACACATATTAAAAGAAAGCACAGAACTAGGAGTTTGTAAGGTGGCGGGGAAGCTGGCAGGACTCTGGGTCAGTCACCCTGTTTCGACTGGACAGGGAGGAGACGCCTGTAGCGAGGGTAGGCCCTGGTCGGGGTGCAAGCTGCAAGCTGCGGTGACTGTCCCAGCTTGGTCCATGTGCCTGCGACAGCGCAAGCCGCCCACATGCAAGCAGCAGAGGAGCCACCCATGGCCTCCTTCCCTCGGTGCCCGCTGCCACCCAGGGACTGCGCTGGCAGGAAGCCAGAGCTGGGACAGGGGCGTGCCACATCAGGGGATGGACGATCCCCCACCCCCAGTTCACTCAGTCGTTAAGGGTGTTATCTGTGACCTTGGCCACTGCCTTCTCTCGGCCCCGCCCTGAGGCTCACCTCTGCAGGTCCTCGGGGGCAAAGGGGCCTGACCACAGGCGTCTGTGAAAAATCGGCATTTGTTCTTCCACCTGCCCCCTCCCCTACTGCCACCTGCAAATCCAGTGCAAAGGAGCCCGCTTCAGAGCGGCAGCTGCTTGGCATGGCCACCAGGGGGCGCGCCCAGCACAAACCTAAGCCACTTGGTGATGATTTTCTGTGGTTGGTTATTTATCCCTGGCCTGGCAGCGTTGTGGCATGGCACCTGCACCGCCAGCATCCCCATGTGGGCACTGGTTCAAGTCCCAGCTGCTCCTCTTCCCATCCAGCTCCCTGCTGATGGCCCTCCACTGACTCCATGCCCCCTGAGCGAGGGTATGCCATCTGCTGTGACACAAGGCTTGGGTAGGGGTCCTGCTGGCTCCTGTGTGGAGCCTGCCCCCTCCGCCCAGGCTGGCAGCCCTCCACGCCCCCTTCCCCCAGGCAGGGATTCCTCAGAGACCCACCCTCCTACCTCTGGCACCACAGTCCCACCTTCCCCCACTGCTCCTGCCTGCCGCCCAGGGACACACTCCGGCCCCACCCCAGCTCTGAAACACCCTGGCACCTCTATTTGATGCGTACATTTGCCAGGAAAGACAGAGACCATGAGAGAGAGAGAGAGAGAGAAATCTTCCATCCACACTGCTTATTCCCCAAAGGCCCACAGCAGCCAGGGTTGGGCCAGGCCATCCACCTGCGTGCAGCCATCCCCACCGCCTACCAGGAGGTGCGCTGGTAGGAAGTGGAGCCGGGACTCAAACCTGAGGATGCAGGTGTCCCCAGCAGCAGCGGCAGCGTCTGAAGCTCTAAAGGAGCGGTGTGACCAGATGCCAGCATGCTCTGACCTCTGACCCCCTGTCTCCCAGACTAGGGCTCTGAGAAGCTAAGCACATCACCCAGGGTCACACAGCCCACGGGTCCCAAGCTTCTTCCCCAGTCCATGCCACCGATGCACCTGTCACTCCCAGCCATTGGGTCCGTCACATGGTGTCCTCTGCCCCCAGCCCTCGGACAGGTCACTGTTGGCTCCTGGCTAGGGCCTGCATGTGCAATGCATCTCAATTCCAGCTTCAAACTCGGCAGTGTCCAGAGCAGAGAAAGCAGAACAGGCCCTAATCTTGAGCTCCTGGAGAGATTTGGGGGGGCAGGACCAGAGGCTCTGGCTGTCTCCAACACCCCCTGAGCACCCACACATCCAGGCCAGCGAAGGCACAGGAAAAGGGGCATGGCTGCTGCTCAGGCACAGGATCCGGCCCACTGCCACCCGCCTTCTGAGATCCAGGGGTTGCAGCTCCCAAACACGACAGTGTGGACAACCTTGGGACGCAGTGCACCTGCCGTGTGACTCCAGCCAGTGAGAAAATTCCAGGACTCAGTGTGGGTCGGACTGAGCCAAAGGCAGAGTATAAGGGAGGCTCCCAGCTGGGCAGTGCGTGTGGGGAGGAGAGACGTGGGTCCGAGCTGTCCCTATGGAGTGCCATCATCCAGGCCTGGCATCCCGAGGGTGACACTGACAGAAGGAGGGCACACACAGAGATAAAACTGCTCAGCCCACTGGGGGCTGCAGCACCCACGCTGAAGGTTGCCTCCAGGGCGCCAGGCCTGTTGGACGCCATCTGCTCTGATGCCACGGGGCCAAGGGTGGGCAGCAGAGGCTGCAGAAGATCCGAGGGAGTCCTGTTCAATGCTTGGCACCCAGGGGTGCCCTGCTCAATAGGGACCTCCTTGCCATGTCCATAAACGTTTTCTGATTCTAAGGAAACTTCTGGAAGGAATATGAGGTGCAGGTAGACAACAGATGCCCTCCTGATTCAGTGCTCACACAGTAGGCCTGCCGCTGACTCAGGGGCTCACACAGTAGGCCTGCCGCTGACTCAGGGGCTCACACAGTAGGCCTGCCGCTGACTCAGGGGTTCCTTGCACAGTAGGCCTGCCGCTGACTCAGGGGTTCCTTGCACAGTAGGCCTGCCGCTGACTCAGGGGCTCACACAGTAGGCCTGCCGCTGTCTCAGGGGCTCACACAGTAGGCCTGCTGCTGACTCAGGGGTTCCTTACACAGTAGGCCTGCCGCTGACTCAGGGGCTCACACAGTAGGCCTGCTGCTGACTTGGGCTCCTTGCACAGTAGGCCTGCCGCTGACTCGGGCTCACACAGTAGGCCTGCCACTGACTCAGGGGCTCACACAGTAGGCCTGCCGCTGACTCAGGGGCTCACACAGTAGGCCTGCCGCTGACTCAGGGGTTCCTTGCACAGTAGGCCTGCCGCTGACTCAGGGGTTCCTTGCACAGTAGGCCTGCCGCTGACTCAGGGGCTCACACAGTAGGCCTGCCGCTGTCTCAGGGGCTCACACAGTAGGCCTGCTGCTGACTCAGGGGCTCACACAGTAGGCCTGCCGCTGTCTCAAGGGCTCACACAGTAGGCCTGCTGCTGACTTGGGCTCCTTGCACAGTAGGCCTGCCGCTGACTCAGGGGCTCACACAGTAGGCCTGCCGCTGACTCAGGGGCTCACACAGTAGGCCTGCCGCTGTCTCAGGGGCTCACACAGTAGGCCTGCCGCTGTCTCAAGGGCTCACACAGTAGGCCTGCTGCTGACTTGGGCTCCTTGCACAGTAGGCCTGCCGCTGACTCAGGGGCTCACACAGTAGGCCTGCCGCTGACTCAGGGGCTCACACAGTAGGCCTGCTGCTGACTCAGGGGCTCACACAGTAGGCCTGCCACTGTCTCAAGGGCTCACACAGTAGGCCTGCCACTGACTCAGGGGCTCACACAGTAGGCTTGTCACTGACTCAGGGGCTCCTTGCACAGTAGGCCTGCTGTTGACTCAGGGGTTCACACAGTAGGCCTGCCGCTGTCTCGGGGACTCGCAGAGCGAGCCTGTTTCCGCCTTCCCAGCAGGTTCCCGTCACCTGCCACCTGCGTTCTTCTGCTTGCCTCTTGCACACAGCCTGCTGACAATTTTTCTTCAGTTTTTGTTTTGTTTTGTTTTGTTTTTACCCCAGATGACACCGTCTCCTGGCTGTCAGTTGTGGCCCCGGGTTTCCTGGTCTGCAGCCTCTAGCGGCCTCCCACGTGCTCTGACACCTTGCATGCTGGTCCCCTCCCCTCCTCAGCCCGCAGTGACTTACCTGGAGCTGCCTCCAAGCCGCCGTGCTTGGACCCCTGGAACTGTCCGTCTGCCCTGATTTCCGACTCCCCGCTCTGCTGCCTTCTGAGGTCTGGCGAGAGGTTCCCCCTGTTCCTGAACTTGCTCTCGCAGAAATGCTCACACTGCTTGGGGTGCTGCCCGCAGATCGGGGTGCAGCTGATGCAGTCCCTCAGCAGGTGGTCATAGTACCTGCCTTGCTCCTTGCGGCAGCTGAGGGACTCTGAGACGGGAGGGAGGTGTTACCGGGTGGCCACGGCCTGCAGGACATGGCCTGCGGCTGGGGCCTAAAGGACATCAGCGTTAAAAACAAATGCAAAAAAAAGCAATTCCCAAAGACCCCAAGTCTTCCTGTAGGACTCCAACCGAAGGCTACACATTGTCCTCCAAGTGTCGCTCTAGCTGCATCGCACGTATTTCATGGGTATTTTTCCAAAGTTCAAAAAAAAAAATTGAACTTTTCAGTATTATTATTATTTTGGGGGGGTACTATAGATTCTTTAAAAGTGTATTTCTTAGTTTTACCTATATGTGAGGCATTTTCTTCAGGTACCATCAGGTGAGCTGCTGCTTACGGCACCAACACCCCACATCAGAGTATTGATTCATATCCCGGCTGGTCCCCGTCCCATCCAGCTCCCTGCCTGTGGCCTGGGAAAGCAGTCAAAGACGGCCCAAAGCCTTGGGACCCTGCACCCCTGTGGGAGACTTGGAAGAAGCTCCTGGCTCCTGGCTTCATCTCAGTCTAGCCCAAGTCGTTGCAGCCATTGGGGAGTGAACCAGTGAATGAAAGATCTTTTTTATTTGTTTCTTTCTCTTTCGCAGGTCTCTCTGCCACTACACCTTTCAGATAAATTTTTTTTCTTAAGGACTTTTTAGTTGTCTTTTAATATATAGATTCACATAAATTCCTTTTTATTTTTTTTTAAGATACAGCTATTTATTTAGAAAATCTGAGATTTTTCACACCCTGAGTCATTTCCCAAGTGGCTGCAACAGCCGGTGGTGGGTGAGGCAGGCCAAAGCCGCAAGCCGGGGGCTTCATGCTGGTCTCCCACATGGGTGCAGGGTCCCAAGGACCTGGACCACCCCCTGCTTCTTCCCCATATGTGTTTTCAGGGAGCTGGGTCGGAAACGGAGCAGCCGGGACTTGAACAGTTATAGTTAGGCGAGGTCAGCGCTGCAGGCAGAGGCTTCCTTGGCTATACCACAGCACCAGCCCTGACAGTTTGTCCTTTATGAGTGATCTGTTTCACATTGCCTCAACTGATAAACTGTGTGAGCAAGGCTGGTGATGGGAGGGAACAGGCGAGCCAGGCACCTTGGATGGCACCTGGGCGACCAGAGCTCAGAGAGGGTGCTTAAGTTCCCTGAGGTCACACGGCTTAAAAATGGGGACGCCAGGATCGGAACCCAGGAACCACTTCCCATGAATGGATCTCGGAGTGTGCAAGGACCTTGCAGCCTCGTGTCACCTGAGAGGGATGACGCGTCTTGAAGGACACTTAAGGATGGCCCCAAGGCAGCCTGGTGTGGACATCTGTTTTCTCTAGCCTCTGGGATGTGGCTGCAGAAGCTGCACGGGGTCTGCCTTAAGGACGGTGCCCCTTTCACGTAGAACTTTCCAGAAGGAAATGGTTTTCCCTGGGAATTCCCTGGGCCAGCCGCTGGAGCTCAGGGACACGCCGCTGACTTGAGCTTCCCTCTGGGCCCTCCCCGAGCTTGCCTGTCCTCGCTTCCTCCCTCCTTGCCTTAGGCTGATTGAAAAGCTCTCCCTCCAGCACGAGGTCTGAAGCATGCAGGCAAAGAATTTGTGCGGGGGGGGCTGGCTTAAGCCACCGCCTACGGTACCAGCATCCCGTAGGGACACCAGTTCAAGTCCCAGTGGTTCCACTTCTCACGCATCCATCTCCCTGCTAGTGCACCTGGGCGAGCAACTGGAGACAGCCCAAATGCTGGGGCCCCTGAACCCATGTGGGAGCTCCTGGCTCCTGGCTTCAGCCCGGCCAACCAAGGGAACATCAGTGGAGAGCGCCTGGGTGGGGGACAGAGAAGGCAAGGTGACTCCTAGAAGCAGGCCTGCCCGCCGGAGGGGCACCATGGACACAGAGCCCTGCTCTGTCGCCCTGCGGTGCAGCAGGTGCTTGGGGAGGGGCTCTGGGAGAGGGGAGGGAGCTGGGGCCACCCCCCTCCCTGGGCTGGGGCCCTTGGACTCACTGCAAAAGGCCACACAGGTGCGCTGGCTGCGCTGGCTGCACAGGGGCTTACAGGAGACACAGGTGTTCAGCAGGGGGTCCCAGAACTGCTCTTCGGGGCAGGGCCTCATGGCTGGCCCTGTCCACAGGCCCTGTGGGTGAAGCTGAGAGATCAGAGTGTGAGGGGCAGCTGGGGGGCGGGGTGGCCAGGGCCAGCTCTCCTGCTGCTGGTTGAAGGAGGCAGGGGAGGGCAGGGGATGGGGGCACAGCTCCGGCTCATGCACCCTAGAGACGTTTTATTTTCCAAGCCTCAGTGAGCCATGCCCTGCTCGCTCCCTGCTGCCCATGCCCCTGCCTGCCTGCCAGAGGAGCCCTACACCTGACACCCCTGATTAACCTTCTGCTACCCAGGGAAGGCCTTTACTGCCATGCCCACCACCCGTGCCCCCCTCGGTGGCCCCCTGAGGGGTCTCACAGCTGAGGTCCTTGCGGGAGCTCATATCCACCACATCGTGACCGAGCCTTCAGCTCACGCTGGTGTGTGGCTGTTTCTGACATGCCAAGTGCCCGTCCTATGCATCTGCTTGGCAGGCACGTGCGTGCACCTGCACCTGAGCATCATGGCGCATGTGGAGAGAGAGAGCTTCCAGCTCCTGAGAGACAAACCGCCTGACCCGCCTGAGCGGCCCTCGCCTGCCCACAGGACCACCTTGGCTCTCTGCAGTGGCCTCGCCGCTGGCCCCCTCCCTTCTACCTCCCCGCCCCCGCGGCGCCCTCCCAACCCTTGATTCTGACGCTCTAATTTATTTGAGAAGCGGGCAGACAGAGGGTGCTGCCCACTGGCCGACTCACTCCCCCAAACGCCTTCCCAAGGGGCCAGGGCTGGACTGGGATGGAAGCCGGAAGAAAGCCAGGAATTCCATGCGGGTCTCTGGGTCTCCCCCGTGTGCACCAACACCTGCCGCCTTCCAGGACCTGCGTTGGCAGGAAGTGGGAGTCAGGGGGTTGGCGCTGGAGCCCCCACAATGGGGACGGGGGATCTTAACCCTTGTTCCTGGGGTCTTCCATGAACATGAGCAGAGAAAAGCTCCACGGCTTCTATTTCTGGCTGTCCCCAGGTCACCGGTGGCACACGCTGCAAGTCAGGAAGCCTTGGGGGCACCTTGCATGCACTTGCCTTTTCTCTTTCCTTTTTTTAAGACTTATTTTTATTGGAAAGTGGATATACAGAGAGAAGGAGAGACAGAGAGGAAGATCTTCTATCTGCCGGTCCTTCATCTTTTGTTCTTTGGAAATCACGAGTGAGTGAGCTGTGGGGCCTCCAGGATGCCAAGGCTGTGTGTCTGCTCCACCTGCTAAACATCAGCTTAGCTGGCAGCCACTGCCTCAAGTTCCTATCTGGGAGCTTAGTACTTGTCCGGGGGAGCCCATGAGTTCTGGCACCTCTGAGCCAGTGGCGTGCAAATGGCCTCAAGCCCTTGCAGGTTCCTGGGCACTGGAGCCAAACTGGACAATTGGGGCTTTGTCCTCCGGCTCCTGGGACTGTGCCCTCTGATTGTTTCTCGCCCCTGAGGGACGAGCACGGAGGTGAGTGGGCATGACTGGGAAAGCTTTGTCAGCCTACCAACTGACCAGCAGAGATGAAAACACCTAGGTGTCTGGGACCACACGTGACTAGGGATGCACACTGTGCCAAACATAAAAAGTCTGGAAAAATCGAAGGCTGGCTGCAATTCTGATCCCTAACAAGATCCAACAATACCTCCAAAAGAATGAGAAATTAGATGTATAGAGTTGCCAAAACACAACCCTTAAGACATCTAGTTCTCAAAGCGTACCAAGGAGCAGAAATCATATAGCATGTGTGTAGGAAAGACATGCCTAGAAATCGTCTCCTAGGAAATCTCTTTGTGGGAGCCCTGGTCACTCTTAACACGCTCCGTGAGCTGAAGCATCTGAGGACAGGGCCTGGCGCAGTAGCACAATGGGTAAGCCTGCCCCTTCAAGCACTGGGATTCCATATGGGCGTTGGCTCGTGTCCCAGCTGCCTCACTACTCATCCAGCTCCCACTTATGGCCTGGGGAAGCAACAGAGCATGGCCCAATGCCTTGGGACCGTGCAGCTGTGTGGGAGACCCAGAAGAAGCTTCTGTACTCCTGGCTTCGGATCAGCTCAACCCTGGCCATTACAGCCATTGGGGGAGTGAATCAGTGGCTGGAAGATCTTTCTCTCTGTCCCTCCTTCGTTTTGCCTTTCCAATAAAAATAGATAAGTGCGTCTTTTTTAAACAGATTCAGGGCACCGGGTGTGACGAACGTATCACTGTGATGCAGGACATTTGTAGGGAGGGAGGCCGTGTCTTTCCCAGGGAAGAACAGAGATAAACAAGAGCTCTGCGTGCCTCCTGCTCAGGTCTGCTGACAGCCTCGCGTGATTCTAAAAAAAGCCTCTGAAGGAAAAGGAAACCAGCCAAGATTCTGAAACCAAGAAAGCTAATAACTGACACAGCTCACCACGGGGACCATCAGCAAATCTTAGCAGTTGGCAGAAAGGCCTGCTGAGCTCAAAGACACGGAGGAGGAGAAACGGACACGGGGCTCCATCAAAGGGGCCAACGCACGCGTGTAGGGACTCCGGAAGGAGAAGAGAGAGAAGAGCAGCGGGTGGGAGGGAGAAAGCTGAAGAAACACTGCTGCTGCTGGGGCCAGTGTTGCGGCACAGCAAGCTAAGCTGCTACCTTTGGCCGCCAGTTCAAACCCTGGTTCCACCAGTTCCAATGCACAAAAAGCAGCAGAGGATGGCTCAAGTGCTGCCACGTGGGAGACCTGGAGGAAGCTCCTGGCTCCTGGCTTCTGACAGGCCCAGCCCCTGTTGTTGCTACCATTTAGGGAATCAGCAGAGGAGAGAAAAAAATTGTTCTCTTTCTGTCTCTCCTTCTCTTTGTGTGTGATTCTGCGTCTTGAAGAAGTGCAGACCCAAACCAGGACATAAGAGTGTTGAAAAGAGCAGCAGGTGGCCAGTGTGATAGACAGCCGACTTCTCCTTGGAAACCACAGGAGCCGGGCGGCAATGGGATGACCCAACATAAGAAACCAATCAAGCAACAGAATGGTCTTCCCAACAAAATGCTATTTGGGGATGAGGTCAGCCAGCCCCGGCTCTAACCTGTCTGCCCCTCTTCTGATGGAGAAGTTTTTCAAGTCGCAATTGTTATGAACGCTGTGGAAAATAGTAGCTGTTGGAATCAGGGGTAAAAATGATGCCGCTTGGCGGTAGAAAAAATAAAGAAAGCTCTAGCAAGTGACTTTAAATGTTGGTCGGCATTTTGCAGTGGCAGTGATGGGGCTGCAGGTGGATGCGCGCTCTGCAGCAGATACTGCAAGGAAAGACGCTACCAACTTGAGGGCTAACGTTGGTGGTCACATTCCACCAAACGTCCTGCAGACAGAGTGGCCACGTAGACCCCCTGCCTGCCCTCTCTCCAGTGCTGCTGGACATCCGGGCTGCAGTTTCACGCAGGTTCTTACAGTGGAAATGATGGTGTGTAACTCTACAGGCTTGACCCGTGAACTGTTTCACATGGTTCTTGGGGCTGTGCTATTGGCAAAGCCAGATAGGTTTCATAAACAGAAATAGAAAGAAGTGACCTGCTGATGATGTCGTTGAGGAAGTTGCCAAAATAGTTGACAGTAACGTGGTGAAGCTGAGGAGGAAGTTTTTGAATCAGAGCTCAGGTGGGTTGGTGAAGTGAATAAGGGAGAGATGAAATTGTTCCCAAAGATGTCAGGGAACAAGCAGAGAAATCTGCTAAGGAGTCTTGAAAGAGAGATGACGGGAGGATGACAACGTGTGACATGTCTACTGCTGCCCCCAGGTAACAGTCGGCCTGTGGATTAAACATAAACCATTGATCATTTTTCATTGCATTTTTGTCTTGCTTTCTAAAAAAGTAAAAAATCAATACTACTGTAGCAAGGGAGGAGAAATGAGGACACTTCTGGACCCACAGAAGCAGAGGGAATGTGTGTTCCAGGCCCCCTGTTCAGAGTCCCTCATGCTGAAACACAAGCACCCCAGACAGGCTCCTGGGCATGAGAAATGCGGCAAATGAACACAGAACCCAACAGTCTTCAAGAAGCCGATGCATTAAACGGCGACTACACACCTGCATTCATGCACACGGAGGGAACACGCGGCCTTCACCACGGTGCAGAGAGCAGCCCTCTGCACCCCAGCTGGAACTACCCAAACAAGACTTCTCTATGTTTAAGAGGTTAATCGTCATCTTCAAGGTCACCACCAAGTACATGACTGAAAAATATACTGAAAAGGACCCCCCCAAAAAATAAATAAAACAAGACATGATGGACTTGAAGAATAAAACACATGGAGAAACAGCAACAGTGAATTCAACAAGCAATCACAATGCACGTAAATGAGCCAAATTCTCCTACCAAAAGGTTGAGATAAGCAAACTGGGCTTTTAAAACCCAGAGGAATCACCTGTCGTGACCCATAAAATAGTTATATCAGATCACACCTCACAAAGAGGATGAGAGTAAAAGGCTGGAACAAAGATCATCGCATTGCAAGAGTGACCCAAGAGAGATGGATCAGCCATATCAGTGTCAAACTAGACTTTCGATTCAAAGAAAGTCGTGAGACAAGTAAGACAGAGAGGTGTAAAGACACAGGAAGATATAACAGTTATAAACACGCATGCATTTAACGGCAATGTCACAAAACTTCTGCCACAAAAATAGGGCTGCAGATGGTTCTCCCCGATACTGAGCTACTCCCGTACCCCACTCTCTGAGACGGGACCGTCAGACAGATCAAGAAATAGGCTTGAGCAACCCTGTGAACAAACAAGACCAAAGAGACGTCCACGCAGCAAACAGCGTCACACACACTCTTCTCTCGTGTGCAGGAAGCAGTCCCCGGGGTTGACCAGCACTCAGACCTCAGCACACTTAAAAGGACTGAATCACTCCAACGGGGCTTCCTGGACACAACAGAACACAACCACAAATTCACAGCCAGAAGGAAACCAAGAGCGCTCACTGTTGTTTGGGAATTCTGCAATACATTCCTCCACACCCAAAGATTCAAAGAAGAAACGATCAGGGGCGTGAGAGAACAGCTTGCTACGAAGGACAAAGTGCCGTGACATCATGAGATGAGAGCAGAGGCAAGAGGGGATGTCACGTCAGTGTGCATGATCAAAGCGCGGAGATTCTCAAGCCATCACCTAAAGATACGTCTTGAAGAAACAAAGCATGAGCAGCGAGCTAAACCCAACACTAGCCAAAAGGAAGACAAAAGGCAGCAGAGGCCAACAAAATACAGAACGGAGACGTCGCCAAGAAAACCGACAAAGCCAACCAGTGCTGCTGCAAAAAACGTTAGCAAAACAGGCAAAGCTGGAGCTAGACTGACTCAGCAAAAGAAAGAAGACTCAAACGACTCGGGAACATCACTCCTGATTTTACAGAAAAAAAAAATCCTAAGAGCCTGAACAGATGCACACCACCACCTGGCAGAGCCTGAAATAACAGGAACACACGCTCGACCTGAACTGACACATGAAGAAGCAGAAAATCTAACTAGACCGAACAACCAATCACTAAAGACCAAATCGGGCGTCAGGAACGTCTCAACAAAAACCCACTCAGAATTAGCACTCGTCCTTCACTCAAAGATCAGAAGGAGTGAGCGCTCCCCAAACACATCCTGGAGGTAGATACTCGCAGTAGCACAGCCGGATAAGAAAACTGCAGACTGGGCCAGCGCAGCAGACTAGCAGCTAAAGTCCTCACTTTGTGTGCACTGGGATCCCATGTGGTCACTGGTTTTAATCCCAGCTGCCTTGCTTCCCATCCAGCTCCCAGCTTGTGGTCTTGGAAAGCAGTCGAGGATGGCCCAAAGCTTTAGGACCCTGCACCTGCATGGGAGACCCAGAGGAGGCTCCAGGCTCCTGGCTTCAGTTCAGCGCAGCTCTGACAGTTGCAGTCACTTGAGGAGTGAATCATCGGACGGAAGATCTTCCTCTCTGCCTCTCTTCCTCTCTGTATATCTGACTTTGTAATAAAAATAAATAAATCTTTTTAAAAATAAAACTGCAGACCATTCTGTCTCCCACAGATAGATGCAAAACTCCTTGGGGAACCCTGAGCACCCCAGATCTAGCAGCCAGCAGTGGCAGTGTGCAACCTAGGGATGCCAGCAATGCATTGTGGTCCAAGGAAGAGGCAGAGGGCACTTTCTCACCTCATCAGGTGTGCTTGACAAATCCACACTACTGCAGGACCAAAAGCTTTCAGTAGATGAGACAGGAGCTCCTTCAAGATGACAAAGGACACACTTGAAAGCCCCACACTGACATCACAGGTGGTGATCAAAGACGGGCCGGCATCCTACACGGGCAGCAGTTCGCATCCCGGCTGCTCCGCTTTTGATCCAGCTTCCTGCTAACGCAGCTTGGGAAGCAGTGGAGGATGACCCAAGTGCTTGGGGCTCCTTGCACCCGCATGGGAGACCCAGAAGAAGTCCTTGGCTCCTGGCTGCAGCTGTTGACGGAGAGACCCAGCAAGTGGAAGCTCTCTCCCTCTCTGTCTCTTGCTGAACATCTTCTGAAGTATCTTACTTAAAACGCTTCTTCTGGTTTTTCACTATTCTGTTTTATCATTTGAGAGATGGATGGAACAGGGCCCGAGCCAGGCAGAGAGAAGTGCCACACAGGCTAGCGATGGCCGGGCCTGAACCGCACCGAAGCCAGAACCTGGAACTCAGTCTGTGGCTCCCATATTTGTGCTTGGCACCCGACTTCTTGAGTCCTCCAGGAGCTACATCAGCAGGAAGTTGGAGGATTTGAACCCAGGTCGCCATACCTGCTATGTTTCTTGACATATTTGTGTTGTGTGCACACACCAACACTTAGAAAGAAAAATGAAAGGCATGGTGCGGTAGCCTAGCAGCTGAAGTCCTCACCTTGTAAGCGCCGGGATCCCATATGGGCGCCGGTTCTAATCCCGGTGGCCCCACTTCCCATCCAGCTCCCTGATTTTCTCAAAGTCCTTTCCCTGGTGATTTAGGAGGAATTTGCCACAACTTCATCTGGGGGCCCGGCGGCATGGGCTAGCAGCTAAAGTCCTTGCCTTGAATGTGCCGGGATCCCATATGGGTGCCTGTTCTAATCCAGGTATCACCACTTCCCATCCAGCTCCCTGCTTGTGGCCTGGAAAGCAGTGGAGGACGGCCCAAAGCCTTGGGACCCTGCACCCGTGTGGGAGACCTGGAGGAAGTTCCTGGCTCCTGGCTTCGGATCGGTGCAGCACCAGCCATTGTGGTCACTTGGGGAGTGAATCATCAGACGGAAAATCTTCCTCTCTCTCTCTCTCCTCCTCTCTGTATATCTGACTTTCCAATAAAAATAAATAAATCTTTTTTTAAAAATTCACCTGGAAAAATCTTAGAGCAACACCGGAGGGAAGCAGAGGATGGAGTGGCCACACCCAGAGCCTCCATTACCCTGCAGCTCCACCAGGAGGGTCCACAGCACACCCACGCCAGAAGGTCAGTATTTGCCATTCGCATCGCTGAGAAGGGACACATGTGGAAGGCATAGAGGACAGCGCTGTGGCATAGAGGGCCAAGCCTCCACCTGCAGCACCAGCACCCTAAATGCATCCAGCTCCCTGCTCGTGGCCTGGGAGAGCAGCAGAGGATGGCCCAAGTGCTTGGGCCCCTGCACCTGCGTGGGAGACCCAGATGGAGTTCCTGGTTTTGAACCAGCCCAACTCTGGCTGTCGTAAGCCATTGAGGAGTGTATTGCAAGCAAAAACAAATAAATCTCTTTAAAAAAAAAAAAAAAACCCACAGGCGCAGGGAGAGCCGGACACCGCTTGCGTCATCATTGCGGAAATGCAAATCCTGGCCACACCTACTCTCACAGCATCAGTGACACAAGGGGCGCCTCGGGTGTGGGGAGGCCCTGGCCCCCTCCTATAATGCCCTGGCCGCTTGGACTGCAGCATGGTGCCCCCCCCCCCCGAGAAGGCCAGGCAACACCTCTGTCCCCAAGAGCCACAAAAACACTCCCCACCCCAAACTTGCACGCAAAGGATCCTAATAGCCCAAGAGGAACAACACCCGTATGTCCACTGCCTGCCTGGGGGACCACCCCTGGGGTGACCCGAGAGGCGCTCATTCCCAATGCGCCCTGCTGGCGCTTGCTGCTCAGTGGCATTCGAAATGGCACGGCGGCGTGAGAAGCTGTTCATCCCGGACAGGAATTGGGTGCATGGCGGGCAGGGAGCGGGGCGGGAGGCCTGTCCCCTGGGATCCTTCCCTGGGGCGCAGCCGCGTGACTGCATGCACGAAGGCAACGGGTGCCATTCAGGAAGAGGTCTCTGCCTCTCCAGCCGCATGCGCAAGGTGCGGAGCGTGCCGGCCGGCAGGGAGCGAGCTGAGCTATCCTGAAACCACCAGACCAGACAGGGTCCAAGGGGCCAACTGGGGGAGTCAGTGGCCGGCCGAGACCCCAAGGCGGGGAGCCCCCACGGCCAGAGAGAGCAGAAGTTGAAGCAGAGAGGTTGGCTTGGTGGTTAGGAATGAGGGGGCCACACCCTCTCTGCTTGCAACCCACAGGGCTCGCCTCTGACCCCCAAATTAGAACACAGTCCAAAGGGATGGTTCTTGCAGACCCCCCACCCCACCCTGCACCGTGCTGCCTTCCGTGCTTGGGCATGGATGTGGCTGGGGGCCTGCCTGGGGACCGAGGTGCTCCCCGCTTTGGATGTGGTGAGCACAGCATGCGGCCCTCTCTCACGGTGTCTTGGGTTCTACGTGCAAGTGTGTGGAGGAGAGCCACAATTCTGAGCCGCATTGGAGCAAACCTTCAAAATCACCCTGCTCAAAACACTATGGAATCGTGTGTGTGTTTGGGAGGGAGTGGACCATCCTGGGTCTTCCGCAAATAAACAGCAGGGCAAAACCAACAACAATGAGCAAGGGAGAGAGCTGGCATAGATTAAAACCTACACCCAAGGGCCCCACGGGGATTGTGCCAAGACTCCAAGTGGGACGAGTCAGCCAACACACACACAGCTAGTCTAGCTTTTCAGAAACGGCAGTGGCGTGACGTGGGGTGGGGGCTGGGAGGAGAGGGAGTCCTGTGTTTAAGAGACGAGCCACGAAGTGTCAGCGAATCCTCCGTTGTGATGTTTGGAACTGGCCTCGGAAGGCTCCAGCGTGGGGCCGGCGTTGTGACGTAGCAAATAAACCACCGCTTACAGCGCCTACGGCCCAGCTTAGAGCGTACAGACTGGGCCCGGCTGCTCCGCTTTCCATCCGGCTCCTGCTAACGCACCTGGGAAGGCAGTGGAACTCGCTCCAATGCTTAGTGCCACCCACATGGGAGATCTGGCTGCAGCCCCTGGTCCCCACTGCAACCTGGTCCAGCCCTGGCTGCCGGCTACAGCAGCCATGTGTTGGCGAATGGAGGGATGAGGTGAGCCAGCACCTGGACGATCCCGCTGTCTCTCTGTTGCTTTTCAAAATAAATTAATAACTCTTGATTAAAGATCTAGTGCGGGAAGGAACGGCGGCAGAGACCCCACAGCCCGACACGCACAGCGCGTGGCCCCAGCATAGCTGCCCACCGAGTGCAGAGACTGGGGGCGGCTCCGGGCCCTGCCAGGCATGCCCCAGCTTGCACACCCGGCCCACCATGCACACCTGACCCCTGGCAGCCCCTGCTGTCCGCCCCAGCTACTCACACCGCTCCGGGCGCCTGCCTGGCTCCTGCTGTCCCGTCTGCGGCGGCCCAGGCCACTCATTACTCAGGCTGTTTATTCTTAGCTAGAGATTTGATTAGTGCTGGGCTCTGCACTTCCTGGGTTTTCCCCTCGCTCTGAGGATGTAAATCAGAACCCCCCCTCCATACACACACACACGTACACAGCCCCACTCTCCGTGCTGGGCCTGCGCAGTGGGAGCTGTCAAGGGGCCCCGGCTCCGGGAGCTACGGCTGGGGGCTCAGCGCCAACCTGGGCCTCCAGTTGGTCACACTCCACCCCACCCCAACCCGCCTCGGGTCCTGGGCCCCTGCCCCTCCCGCATATGCCCCAGCTGAACCAGCTTTCCCCACCCCCAACCCGCTCCAGCGCCATTTGGGGCCCTATGGGCTCCCTGCAAAACCTTTTCTTGCCTCATCTGCGGTCTGGGCAGCCTCCTGCTCTGAACGAGGTGTCCCCTCCTCCAGGAAGCTGCCCCTGACTGCCCCCAGTCCATGCCATTACGGACTCCTTCAGCCCCAGATTTTCACATCCGTCAAAACTGAACCATCACACCCAGGCAGCCTCAGCTGGAATTTTGACCCTGCCACAGACCAGCCGGAAGCCTTGGTGGGAAGTGGGGACCTGTAGCAGCTGGGTGAGCTAGCACAGCCAGCTTAGAGCAAGCTGTTGCCCCAGTTTTCCTTCCCTGATAGTGGAAGCATAGGCCATGCCATGACCCGACAGCTTCTGACTCCAGGGATGCCCCCTGGGCAGGGCAGGAGCCTGGTGACCATTCCTGCCAGTTCTACAGTGGCTGCTGTCAGGGGAACTCAGCTGGAACGTCCCCTCGACGAGGGAACACAGAGGGACTGCCCAGATGGCCAACAGTGTCACCTGTGATGACACCCAGGGGCGTAGGGGCATTATAAACCAGACACAGGAGGACCAACATTGTACAGAGCTAGCGCTGTGGCTCGGGGGGGCTAAGCAGCTGCCTACAGTGCCAGCATCCCATCTGGTCACCAGTTTGAGTTCCACCTGCTCTGCTTCCCATCCAGCTCCCTGCTATTGTGCCCAGAAAAGCAGTGAACGGTGCCCCAAGTACTTGGGCCCCTTCACCCATATGGGAGACCGGGAAGAAGTTTCTGGCTCCTGGCTTCAGATCAGCTCAGCTCCAGCTGTTGCAGCCATTTGGGGAGTGAACCAGCAGATGGAAGAGCTCGCTCTCTCTCTCTCTCCTCTCTATAAATTGACCTTTCAAATAAAAATATTTTTTTAAAGAAAGAATGAGATCTGCAAAGTTGCCCCAGCACATGCTGGAGCAGAGAAAGCAGCTCACAGCACAGGACTCCAGGTATACAAGGTCTTCCGGCAAAATCAAACCAAAACTCAAACTAACAAATCCCGCATGCAAGGTCGCCTGCCCGTGTGATCAGGGACTGCGTGTCAGGAGATCGCGAGAAGCCCACATGGTGGCAGCTGCTACTTCAAGCAGGGCAGGAGGACACGTGGGGGGGCCACATGCAGAGGAACA